CATGTGATTACTCAGGCAGGTATCGAGGTGGATCCTTCTAAGGTCTCAGCTGTTCAGAACTGGTCGACACCGAAGAGTCCATCCGAGGTTCGCAGTTTTCTCGGTTTAGCTAACTATTACTGCAGGTTCATCGAGGGCTTTTCTAAGATTGCCCTCCCATTATCCCAGTTGACGAGGAAATCTGTGAAGTTCGAGTGGACTGATTGTTGTGAGGCAAGCTTTCAGGAGCTCAAGAGGAGATTAACTTCAGCACCGGTGTTGACTATTCCCGATCTTTCTCGGAGTTTCACTATTTTCAGTGATGCTTCGAAGCAGGGACTGGGATGTGTACTCATGCAGGACGGCCAGGTCGTTGCCTATGCTTCACGTCAGCTTAAACCACACGAACAGAACTATCCGACGCACGACTTGGAGTTAGCCGCAGTTGTCCATGCTCTTAAGATCTGGCGACATTATCTTTACGGTGGTCGTTGCGAGATTTTTACAGATCATAAGAGCCTGCAGTACATTTTCACGCAGAAGGAGCTTAACATGAGACAGCGCCGTTGGCTCGAGCTCGTCAAGGATTACGATTGCTCGATTCAGTGCCATCCGGGGAAGGCGAACGTCGTTGCTGATGCCCTAAGCCGAAATGTGAGGGGTGACTTGACGTACGTCGTTACTCAGCAGAGTCCGTTCATTCAGGAGTTTGCCCAGATGCAGATTCAGGCGGTCGATGCACTTCCCACAGCCATTTCAGGGAGTGTCAGTGCCAGTATCAATGCTATGTAGATTCAGCCGACGCTGAGAGAAAGAATCCGGCAAGAACAGGCTTCTGACGAGTTCGTTAGAGTCATGGAGGCCAAAGTCCATGCCCGAGGCATCGAGGGTTTTCAGCTAGGTGCCGATGGTGCCCTAGAGTTCAGAGGCAGGATCGTGGTCCCGAAAGTCGAGGCGTTGCGGAAGGAGATATTGCCAGAGGCTCATACCGCTCCCTACCTAGCCCATCCTGGGAGCACGAAGATGTATCATGACCTGAAAGGGTCGTTCTGGTGGCGCAGAATGAAGAAGGACGTCGCTGAGTTCAATCAGGAGATGTTTTACCTGTCAGCAAGTCAAAGCCGAACATCAGAGTCCGATCGGCCTCCTGCAACCACTGCCAATTCCGCGGTGGAAGTGGGAGGAAGTCATGATGGATTTCGTTACGGGATTACCGAGGTCGTATGAACATCACGACGCTATTTGGGTCGTGGTCGACAGATTGACTAAGGTCGCGCATTTCTTACCCGTTTCGATGAAGATGTCCTTGGATAAGTTGGCTGAGATATATACCCGTGGAATCATTCGACTCCACGGAGTGCCCGTTACTATCGTATCAGACAGAGATCCCAGATTCGTTAGTAGATTCTGTCACAGTTTACACGAGGCGATGGGCACGAAGCTTGAGTTCAGTTCAGCCTACCATCCGGAGACAGATGGTCAGTCAGAGCGGACTATTCAGACGCTGGAGGATATGCTTCGCGCTTTGGTTGTTGACAGGGGTGCTAAGTGGGAGTCGTTGTTGCCGTACATCGAGTTTGCGTACAACAACAGCTATCATTCTTCTATTCAGATGGCTCCTTACGAGGCACTTTACGGTCGTAAGTGTCGTTCCCCTCTTTATTGGGACGATGTCGGAGAGCGACGAGTACTCGGTCTGAAGATGATCGAGGAGACGGCAGAGCAGGTCGAGTTGATCCGGCAGAGGCTCAAGACAGCTCAGAGTCGACAGAAATCTTCAGCCGATCATCATCGACGAGACATTCAGTTTGAGGTTGGCGAGCCAGCTTTCCTTAGAGTTCGTCCTATTCGCGGAGTTATTCGATTTGGGAAGAGAGGGAAGATGCACCCTCGATTCATTGGCCCGTTCGAGGTTCTCGAGCGAGTAGGCGAGGTCGCGTATCGATTAGCCTTACCTCCCGAGCTATCAGGCATTCACAATGTTTTCCACGCATCTATGTTGCGTAAGTACGTGTACGACCCCAATCATGTCCTTCCTCATACGGATATTCAGGTTCTGCCAGATTTATCGTACGAGGAGCGACCGGTAGCTGTACTGGACCGTCAGGTTCGTCGGCTCCGGAAGCGTGAAGTTGCCCTTGTACATATTCAGTGGGATCTCCACAGAGCTACTTGGGAGGCGGAGTCCGATATTCGAGCTCGTTTTCCAGATTTTCAGTTTTGATGTACATATTTTCATGTTTTATGTACAGATTTCATGTTAATCAGTTCGTTTTGAATTTCTGAGGACGGAAATTTTTAAGGAGGGAGGATTGTAATATCCCGTCAGTTTATTAATATAAATCATGTTTTAATTCCGATTTATTAATATTGTTGAGTATTAATTTTCGAAATTAATTATTTTCAGTCGAGATTACCCGAAATTATTTTCGACGTTCCATTTACGTTCAGAATAATTTTGGTAATTAAGCATTATGTTTAATTAAATAATTAAACATAATGTAGTGATTAATAAACAATTAATCACAATTTTATGTTAAAAAGCCGTATGTATTTTTTTTTCCATATTATGCTCAAGGCCGTAGCCATTTTCTTCAAAGTGAAGGAAACAAATTCCTTCTTCTTAAAAGTATCCACACGTGGCTTAAGAAGAAAAGTTAAGTGATGAGTCATAAGTGTTGAACCCCTATTTTTGTGGCAAGTGGCATCAAGGAAGTGAGGCCACATCACCCCTTCATCACCCCATCTTGTCTCGGCCCTCTATAAAAAGCCTACCTTGGGAAAAATTTTCCCACTTTCCTTAAGAAATCTATCAGCATATATCATACCTATATTATAAGAGTGAAAGACTTAGTGAGATTTGGCGATGCAAAGCATGCGGAGAGCCATGCACGAACACGGGAGTCCGAGGAATTGTTGTTAATCGACTATAATCGGAGGTAATTTCCGTGTGATTATAGGCTGAGATTAACATGTTCTTTAAGTTCATTTTTCAGTTCAAGTTCGTATGCGTGTCGCATATCGATTCGGTCGTGCGAGTAGCCGTGTCAAGTCATGCTATGTTTTAATTCAAGTTTTCTGATCAACCTTCGCATGTTCAGTCATTATGTGTAAAATCACGATTATTCAGCTTGAGTTGTTCGGGAGAATATTCATGTTGTGCGGTGACTCGGCCGAGGGACGTGGTCGCGCACGTAGCGCGCACCACGGGCCGGTCACTTGTAGCAAGTATGTTAAGTTCAAGTCCTTCGAGTATATCATGCCCATTTATTCAGTAAATATTGTTCATGCTCAGTTGAGGTTGAATTGCTGAGATAAAAGTCAGGTTGGTCGAAAGACGGCCTAACGCCGTTGGCGGCGCACGGTGCGCTCGCCACGGCCATGATCAGTTTATTGTG